ATATATATATATATATATATATATATATATATATATATATATATATATATATATATATATGAGGGAAACAAGATTGTAAAATCTATAAAGCGATCAACTATTTGAAAAATAGAAAATGAGACCTTGTAAACAAATATCAATTTATCTATGCAACACTGTATAAAAAAAAAATAACAGAGAGTTTTATGTTTTATGGTATTTTATGCTATTTGTTGAATGCTGTAGGGAAGAATGTACGGTGTTTTAATCAGAAAGTTTAGCTGCATAATAAAATCATTGCTTTTTCTTTAGGTTAGATGATCTTAAAAATCATTAGTGTTAGGGTTAGAAAATCCCAGTAAAAATGGCTGCCGACGATGTTGAGTTAAAATCCAGGGTTTAGGTTTAGTCAGTCCTGTAATGAACATGAAACCAGAAGTGGACTTCTATCCCCAGAAGAGCTGAAGGAGTGACTGAAAACAGTTATATATGTATTCCCTTCATGACTTAAAATAGACATAAAGGGAATACAGACCCCCTCAAATGCCAGGCGTCATTTAGACTTTGGTTTTTAGGATAAATCTGGTCGGTCCTCCATAGTCTTGATTTAGTCCAAAACTCGTCATTGAAAATTGGTCTGTGTTTGATTGGCCTGATTTTGTCCCTTTTTAGTCCAATAATAGATGCTAAGAAGACGTTTCAAACCCAGTTTTCAACGTCTTTTCAACAATCTGGAAAATTATGGCTTTTCTTCTTTCACTTTTCAACCAAATGTAGACGTTGTTTGGACGTAAATCAGCAGTGTGATATTTGAGAAAAGAGCTTTATGAAACCCTTCAGGCTGATTTGTTTGTATTGGCCATCAAGCTGACTTCGAGTTGAGGCAGGTTTATTTTTCTTTTGCTGGAGGTGTGGTCCCTCCTAAATCTCTGGTAAAAATCTCTTATCTGGTTTACTGATTCTTTGGAGCCAAACACTTCATACTGCCTGTCTACCCTTCGTCCCTCTAGATCCAGATCAAAAACTGGACTGTAGCTTCATGTGAAAGTCTGATCTCATTTATAAAGAACATTAAGCCTTTTCTTTAAAGTTACATGTTTTGAAACCTTCCAGCTATATGTACATATTAAGAAATATTGCCGTTAAAACTGCAGAGTATTTGTTATTAAATATTGTTTTATTTTATTTTTGTAAACAACTCAGTAGAAAGACACTTTCTTACTGCAAAGTCAAATTTATTCTGTATGATACAGACCTTTTATAAATATAAAAACACTTGTTTTTATATTATTTCATACTATCTGTGTCATTACCTTTGCTTTTAATCTCAAGAGTAACTTTGTGACATAAACTGATAACTATTTCATTTATGGAGCAGGTGTTTGTATTAATTTACAGCTTTCAGGCAGTGAACGAGCAGCAGCTTAGCCATGAAATGAACAGTTCCATTTCATAAAGTGCAGCAGTGATCAAATATACACAGCATGGGAGAAAAACATGGTTCAAAATGCAACGATATGGAAGTTCAGAGCAATGCAAAGACAAATGTATATATGGTGCAAAAATGCATAGAAAAACATTGTGATATGAATTAAAAAGAAACACCAACTCAGAATGAGGATGAAACTCTTTCATCTGATTTTAATAGCATATTTTATCAGGTTTTATTAGTCTTTGATGAGCCAGTGAGCTTCTAATTAAAATGGACATGTTCAGTTATCGTCACAATGTTCCTAAGGAAATAAAATGGAAAATAACTCCAGTAAAATAAACTTTATTTTTACTATTAAACTAACTTTATTTTCCTTCCCCTATGCTTTAATCTTAAAGCAGAGATCCAGCAGTAAGGGTGTGTTTGTTTTGTACAGACTTGTATTGGCAGAACCCTCAGTTCCTGTTGGATCTGACGGAGGTGGACTTTGTACCCGGAAACACTACGAAGACCTGCTCCTTCATCGTGGCTCTTATGCAGAAATATCAGAGACTCAGACGAATTCGAGTCCATCTTTTTCTTCATATATATCCGGTACACACACCCAGACATGCACCCACACATTGGCATTCATATTGACTATGTCTGCTTTAAGTTTTTAAGTATTCATGGCCAACCCTGACATTTACCCATAACCCTGACCTAACATTAGTTCCTTCCATACTAACTATTGTTGCACCGTTACCAGTATTGGGCGGGGCCCCGATCCAGCACTAAAATGGTGGTATCGGTATCGGCGAGTACCAACAAATAGGGCAGCGAATAGAAAGTTCTACTGGATTCACTTTGTATTACGGTAGTCTTTTTCCTGCTTCACCAAGGTAGGCAGCAGCTTGACAAAGCCATGATGGCAATTGTTTTACATCCAAGTAGTATGCAGTTCTTCAAATATACACACACATCAAATTCAAACAGATGGTATCGATATGATATCGGTATCAGTATCAGTCGATACTGTACAGCCAGGTATCGGTACCGTGGCCTAAATAGGGCATTGGTGATACATTAATACTAACCAAACCCCTAACATTACAATGTCAGGAATAGCATTGAATTCAAGGTTTTATTCAGTAGCCCAACAAAGCCTTGTAACTATGGCTTTGACCTGGATGGCTGAGAATCTTCACCAGCACACAGAGCAGAATCATTTTCCCTGGGGAGAAATCTGAATGATTATGATGCTGTGTGAACCAGCCTATAATAAATATAACAGAAAGGTTGTAAATTGGTAAAAAAAACAAAAAAAAAAACAATTACAAGCAGCTCAAACTGGATTTTTACCTCTCCAGGCGCATCCCAAGACCACCTTCCTGTCATCTGAAGATCTGCTTAAAATCCCTCCAATCTGCTACAACCACTACGCGTCAGGTCGGGAGGTGATCATCCACAGCTCACTCCCTCCGGGTCGTTACATCATCATCCCTTCAACCAGCGAGCCCAATCAGCATGGAGAGTTCCTGCTGAGGGTGCTGACAGAGCCCGGTAACTCTGCCACGTGAGCAAAGCTTCCTCTTTACAAATGCTTTTCATATTTTTAATCAGAGGAAAAGGAAAGTTCTCCGTGCACCAGGATAAAAGGTAATCATCTGGTGTTTGCAGGTCTTGAACCTCTAGTGTTCAGAAACCCGGAATTTAAGTCTGGGATTTGTTAAACGAAAAAATGAAGCCAGTGTGGAAAACCTTTGTGTAAAAACTACCCAACGTTTAGAAGATTTAATTAGGAAATTAGCATCAGGTGCTTATTGGTATGTTTTCCTCTGTAAAAGCAGGAGTTTTTTCTGTTTGTTGCCGTGGAGCTTGTTGCCGTGTCCATAGATGATTATAGACACGGCCCCACAGGGACTAACGCCCCAGTATTTTTCTTGAAAAAGGTGCATTTTCCCTTGACTTGAGCAGGTGGACAAGAAGATTAACTAAATGAATTATTTACATTTAAATTAGAAAAAATATATTCTATCTTTTTTTAGTAGATCTTAAGTAGATAATATGTAATTATCCTAAAGGGCAAAAATACTCATTCCTTTGACAGATTATCTTATTTCCCTGCTCAGTTAAAAGGCATTTTAAGATATTTTTACTTTCTTTAGATAATTTATTCTGAGTCTAATACCAAAATGGTTTCTTATGATGATTTAAGCTGACAGAAGGGACTGCACTGCAAAAAGTATCCATGTTAGCAAGTCTCACTATCTTAGATCTAGTCAGAAAGTCTTTCTGTTCTTGTTTTGAGAATTGATAGCAAGATTTAAAGAAGCCTTTCAAAGAGCAAATGTTTTACTGCATTGGTAGATTATTGCACTTATTTTGAAATGTATCCACAGGATATGATTCACAGATGCACATAGTGATTCAAATAAGAGCATGAAATGTATACATTCAAAAGACAAGATTCACTGAAGTATTTGTGGTGCATAGACAATTATTTCTGGATTTATAAATTACCAGTTGTCTTTGAACGTCACTTCCTTTGGGTGTGGCTTTTTGAGACTCCACTGACGTGACTCGATGTACAAATGCATTTCTTTTAACAAGCTATGACTTGAAATCAGAGGAACATACCCTGTGTTGGTAATGATTTTGTTATAAGATTACTTGAATAGTAGGACCTCTCTGCATCTCCTACTGTTAGATCTCCAGAGTGGGGTTCAGTCTGCAGCCTGTGTCCCACTCTGGCTCGCTCTCTGCTGAGGGTTTGGATGATCATGGAAGTAGATCTGAGCCTGATCCCCAGCAGATGTCACCAGAGGTGGACAGAAGTGCCACTGGAGGCCAATTGGTGAGGCCAGATGATGAGCAGAGTAGAGGAAAAGTGGGGGGAAGCTACATGAGTAAAACTAATGAGAAATGATTTATTTAACAATTCTTTACATTAAAATGTCTTTTTTTAAATCATCCACAAACCTCTAAAGAGCCTCTTTCTTAATCAACATTTTTTCTGTCTTGGATTGAAAAAAAAGCTTTGTTTCCACTGCACTCTTTTTTTTTATTATTTCCTTTTTTTTAAAAGTGGACCTGTTGTGTATCTATAAATTAAGAACCTCTCCAAATCATCCTCCATGGTTGTAGCTGACACATGGGCGTATTATCCTCCCATAGCAGTACACTTTGTACCTCCACTGTTGGGTGTTTGTTTTACTTCTGGTTCGCTGACATAGCAAAACGTTTTGCGAGATCTCGCAAAAGTATTGTGGGATCTCGCAAAGTTTATTTTTTCCTCCATGTCCCTTTAGGGACTCCGTAGCTGGAAAAGGAACTAGTGCCCCATTCATTTCTGGACTGCAAATGTCACATTTCCAAATATGCCAGGTGGTCGGTTTGTTGCAGCAATACCCTACTCTTCCATCAAACAAAATCACTGCCCACATATTTGATCCTGTGATTGGCTCAAACAATGGAGCCATCTAATTATTTGAAACTCATACCGTGTTTTAAAAAAAAACAACGCATTTTTATGGAGTGAATTTCTGCCAAAACATTGTGTAAAAAAATGCATGTTGCGCACACACATAAAGCATGTTGCAAATGCATAAAGCATGTTTCACACAAACGAATCTTATCACTCCGGTTTGTAAAACAAATTTTTGTGTTTGTGCAACATTTAAGGACAGTTTGAAAAAAAGTTTTATTTGTGTGTGACATTAGATGAGAGTCTGTAACTAAAGTTTTATTCGTGAACAATAAGATTTGAGTGCAACATGTTTATTTGTGAGTGATAAGATTCATTTGGGTGAAACATGCTTTATGCATTTGCAACATGCAGTTTTGTACGCAACATTTTGGCAGAAAAATCACTCCATACATTTATATAACAAGTCAGGTGAGCCACAAAAGTCTAGACATAAATGCAGGGAACTTCAAAAACCACTGGTAGTTTACAAATCAGGATATAATTGTGTATGCATCATAAAATACTTAAGGGAATCTTCTCTAGTGAATGTGAAAATGTTATCATTATGTGCGAGTGTGGATCACATATGTGTGTTTAATGCTGAGACTCTTCTAGCTCCTTTAAAAATGAGTTAAAGATCAGATTTTACAGGCCTCAGTTAGAAGGTTAAAGCTCCTGATCCGTAGAAGAGGTCTGTACAAGGATGGGATGGGTTAAAGAAAATCCACTATTATTTAATTTTTTTATGGCGAAACACTTTATTTGAAAAGCTGATTCTGAAGCAGATGTCTTGGGAGAATCCACAGGTTGATCTTTGGAGAGAACCAAACTTATCAGCACAAGCACCTATTAAGCGCAGGGTGATGATTTGGGCTTGTTTTGCAGGCACTGAATGGAATAAACCAGTAAACCACAGCCTTTCAGAGAAAATCTATTGAATGATGAGTTGTGTTTTTTTCCACACAGTTTTAGCTTAATATTTGCTTTAGCATCATTTGCATTCATAAGTGTTTTCGATTTATATATTTCTAAGAATTTAGTTTTCTATACACTACAACGTGAAACCCAGTAACTAAAAGAGAGGGCGTACTGTCTGTTTTTACCATGGTTTGATTTATTGTTTTAAATCATTTTCTTCCAGTCCAGCTCAAAAACCAACACCACATGATGTCTCCTTGATCAAAGAGGTAACAGACAATTTCATCTCTTATCATTAAATCTATTGTCATATCTTGTGATTTGAAATAGACTAAGACCACCAGTCAGTAAAATCATGGATGTTTAGCTAAACACATTTCAGATATAAAAAGTAACCCAAATTCAATGTTAGTTTAATAATAAAAGGGTTTGCGTAAAATAATAGAAAGAAATGGTAGGGAGGGTATAGATGGTTCAGCCAAGCACCTCAGATTTTATTTCCAGCCTGTAAAAACTGTCTTAAAATTTAAACTTTGTATTTTGTCCAAAGAAATTGGAACACGGCTGTATTTGTCAGAATTAATCGATTTTTTTAACCAATGATTGTTATATGAAATGTATGTAAAAGTATTCAATAGATGTTATTTTATTTAACATTAAATTAGGAGAAGGAAGAAAACATGGATTATTGAAGATAAATAGTTTGGATATAGCAGAGGTGCAGGGATAGAGCATGCAACCCCATAGACATAAATATATGGTAGACCCCGCATTGAAGGTCCTGGTGCAGAAATTACGGCGGCCATCTTGGGGCGGCCATCCCTATCCTGCTGGTTTAAGCTGGTCAGACGAAGGATGCCTCAGCACTGTGTGGCTTTTTTGAATTGACGGACTATTGACATCAGGGCTCGACAAGTTTGTCACCACATTGCTAAAGTCACCACTCTTGGACTCCACAAGGGGAAAACAAGAAAAAAGCTCTGCAAAACAGTCCTTTTTCTTAACAACGGGCACTATGGGCCTTGCAAACTTGAAGAGAAAAAGTATGATAAAATATAAATTCTCACAATGTAATCGGTTAGCATAACTAGTCTAGTTTGAAGTTTCATAAGAAAACACACAGATTTTTTTTAAAGATAAATTGGTGTTTTTTAACAGAATTCTCAACTCGGCTGGCACAAATGTAATTTCCATCACATAGAAATATTTGTCATTTATTCTAAAATACTATGATACACATATTTTTGTTTTTTTTTTTACTGAAAGAATAATTAGTTTTAACTGTTTATGCCTTTATTGTTAAACACATACATTTATGGATTAGGTAAATTAATTGTGATGAGGACAAGATGCAAATCTTATGTTAAAGCTACATTGTGTAATAATTACAGGGATATACAGTCAGAAATGTAATATATTATACATAACTATGTTATTTATCATCATCTAGGAGCTCAGCCTCTTAACCTTAATATTTGCGTTGCCTTAGAATTCGTTATTTATAATTACATAGGAGCGGGTCTCGCAGCCATGGAGGCAGACATCTTTGCGCTACGGCAGCGCAGAGCCAACAAACTAGCGATTGCGAGATCGCCCATTACGCTCGAAAGTAACTACGGCAAGTTGAGAGAGATGAACTGAGACGGTACTGAACACACAGACTAATGAAATACTATCTGTGAAATTATCTATGTAAACAAACCTCATCACTTGAGAAGGTAGGTGATGCGGACGTCGTGGAAGACATCTTGTCCCGTAACGCTCGCCGTACTGTTGGGGGGGAGAAGCGGTGGGGGGGAGATGTTCATGTTGCTGCGGTCTGCAGTCTGAACGTTAGATGTCGCTGAAAATTACACACTGTAGCTTTAAGTGGAATATTATCTCTTAAGTTATGTAAAAGGTTTTAATGAGTGATTAGAATTTTGGTACAACTTATTTAAAAAAAAATGCTGTGGTGGAAATTACACGGCGTGGTGTAAAATACTGGTTGTTGTGGGAATTACAATGAATAGACCATACAGACAACAAACCTTTCTTTTTAAAAACTTTATGGAGCATAATAATAAATAATGATTAATAAATACATTATTGAATAATAATAAACTAATTGCAGTTGTGCATAGGTGGTACTAAGGGTGTGAGAGAGGGGATGGCACCACTGCAAAATGCTTAGCATTTAAATTATAGTTAGAAACATGTCAAAAGTTGTCTAAAAAAGTGTTATTTTATAATATTACCACATTGTTGTAATAATAAAATTAGATAAATAAAATGTGAGAACAAGGTCCTTGTATGTGTATCTATGAACTACGCCTACACAAGTTAATGTAATTTCCACCACACCATTGTAATTTCCACCAAAGAATGCAATATGGTAGAAATTACTGTGGTGGAAATTAGAATCTGACAGAAATTGGCAGGAAAATCTATGCTAGCATCACATACTAGCTAAGAAAGGGTCTCTAGCATTTTATGCTTACAAATATGTGTGTTAAAATAACAATTAATTTCCAAACTGAGTTGATGTCAGGGCATGTTTGGAAATAACATGCAATAAAAATATTTTCATTTCAAGCAATATTTAACTTGGCTTTACTTCAAAAGTTGATGGATGAAGTCAAAATTTCTTCCATGTCAGACTTGTGCTGTGTTGCACTGTTCATCGCCATAGCAACTACCCAAATAATCTTTGATACAAACTTAAAGGGACATTACAGTGGAAATTAGAACAATACTGTGGGACAACTACAATTGGTTTAGAAAATCACATAAACAGTTGTATGAAATTAAAAACTCCAATTATAGTTTGATAATTTTTCTGATATTTTATTCAATGATATTTTAAAACATTAGAAAAAATGTTTTTTTACTATTCATTTTTATCATTGATGATCAAAAGTATGGGTGTGTGAAAAGCACAAAACGGTAATATTTACATATATATGAGGCTGAAAAAAGGTGAAAAAGTCACCACAGACTACTAAAACAAATTTCCTAAAACATTTTCATTGTAAAGATAACTATAAAGGTGTGAAATATCTCTTTTTTTAAAATGTATTCATGAAATATGATCAAAGGACATAAAAGTGCTCGTAGTTAAAGAATCACCCATATAGATACATATATATAAATAAATATATATGTGTTTGTATATATATGTTTTTGTACAACTGTGTGTTTGTATATGGTAGTAAAAAAAAATATTAAAATTTATGAGTGGCCGTTATTTGCAACATCCATACATCCTGTCTGAATATTATATTACTTTTAACCTCACTAAGAATATTTAAATGCACTGAACCATTTGGTATAATAGCTATAGTTTTAAAGTTTTCAGAAAAAAACTATGTGACAATTACTTCAATATTCAGCGAGTTATAGTTGCTTAAAATTGATTCTGTGCCTGGTCAAGGCATTACACTGAGCAGAGCAGTCGACCGCCCCAAGATGGCTCCCCTAAATCTCGTCAGCCCCTATAGGTGATAGTGGTCGATGCGGGGTCTACTCTTTATACAGGTATATGTGCAACCCATGCTTTAAGTTTTCCACTTTGCTGCAGCTCTTTTCCTCTTCTGTCACCCCATTTCCTTTTAAGATAAAGGCGACCAGTGCAAATAAAAAAAAGAGGCACTTCAAATAGCCCCTCTGCCACTCTTTCAACACCTCATCTTTCACAATCACTAAAAACGTTTGGTGTAAAAATGAGGATAATTAATAAAACATACAGAAGAAAAACCTGTTTATTAAAATTCTTGCCACATCCATTCTGCCGGTGCCAAAAAGCATCTGTCACTGCAGATTTATTTATACATTTTTGTTCAGTTGTGACAAAATACATTAAAATATTTATGAAATCTTATTATTAAAGGCATAAGCGTAAAAGTGTTTTCTGGTATTTTTCCCTGCAGCCTTCTTATCCTCACCAGGCCGCGCTGCCTTCACTCGTATCCATCAGACAGCTCTTTAACAAACACAGCGACAAGGTGAGATTTACCTGAAGAATGTCTTCCAGGCCGGAAGAGATTTTACTCTAAATTTGAGGAAAAACAACCATAAAATCTGCTGGTTCTGCAGAATTACTGGGTTAAACACAGACTAGAGGGAGTTTGGGAATGTTTAATATAGATGAAGGCTTTCACTGTGTGGCCTGCTGTGATCTAAGTTCTTCCTCGTTTCCTGTCTTCAGAAAGGATCCTGCAAACCTCTGAACCTCCACCGCCTCCTGTCCGAGGCCGTACAGGGAGGAGGTCTGTGCTGCCCTGATCTTTTATTTCCACATGATTGTTAAATATAAGCCTTTTTAATGATCTCTCATGTCATTAGTGTTGGCCGGAAGTGAGAGATACCTTTCTTTGGAGCACTGCAAGAGCCTGGTGGTCCTGATGGACGTATCCTTCAGGAGAAAGCCTTTAACTCCAATAATAATAAAATGAGAAATATATTTCAGCTTAAATTGTTTGGAATCAGGTCGTGTTGTGTTCAAGGACTGCTGGGATCTTTTTTGTGCTGGCCTTCTGCTTTTTTTTTTTTCTTTCTTCCTTGACCTCAGTGCTTTCTGCAGAGCCATGGCATCGCTCGACTGGACTGGGATGACTTTAAGACTCTGTGGAACAAAATCAGGAAGTGGACGGTAACCGTAGCAACACTAGCACGTCTATGACAACATTAATAACATGGCTGCAGATATTTTTGAGTCTTTATAAGGGTGCAGGCAACAATAGATTAGAAGTAAATTAAAAACTAGTAGGAATGACTTGGAGCAACTACTTTAAAGGAAAACTTTGGAGCATGAGTTCATTGTAAGATGGTTCTGATATTCAGCTTATAACTGTTCTGTTATCTTTTCCTTTGTTTCCAGGACATCTTCCTGGTCTATGACACAAATAAAACTCATCACCTTGAGTACCGAGAGGTGGAGCCTGCCCTGAAGGCAGCAGGTAGGCAGTATGCAGCTACAGAAATACATATTTAAGCATTTTCCCCTACAAGTGTATAAATATGACCAGAAGGGGGCAGTCTGTAACTTTTGACAACTGAATCCACAAAAGCAGATTTATGGAGTGAATTTTGCTCCGTTGTTGCAACTTCTGAAAAATGTTTTAATCAAATAAAGGCTTTGAGATAAATGCAGTTTTCTCTGGCTTAAAAAAAAAAAAAAAAAGTCAGATTTATTTTTATTTTTTTTAAATAAAATAAAAAAACTCCTCCTCTGGAGTTGCACATTTACCAACAAGTGTTGCTAACACCCAAGCAGACCAATAGAAATGCCTCTCTGCTCATCACTCCAGAGGAAATCCCGCCCCCAGAAGTGAAAAAAATTTGGTCTGTAAAATGTAATTTGTAAAGAATGCAATTTGTAATAATTTGTTTAAAAAAAGAACAGAACTATGGAAATGGGCCTGCCTCAGAAAGATAAAATGACCGTTTCATCTGAATCTTCCTGAACGTGTCACTGACCCGTCCTCGTTCTGTGTCTGCTGCAGGCATCACGGTGAACGATCTGTTGTTACAGCTAGTAGGACTGAGATACACAGAGCCAGACCTGACCATCAGCTACCCCGGCTTTCTGTACCTGCTCATGAAGCTGGAGACCATGATCCGTAAGGAGACTTCCCTTAGAGGAGAGGAGGGGAATAATCTGAAGGCTTTTCAGAGATTTCCAGAATGCCATCTTTGTTCATTCATAACAAAATACTGTCATTATTAAATCCAAATCTCTCTGATATACTGGATAGTAACTTGTGGATCAAACTGATCCAATGTGACGAATGCTTCCTGTTAAAGCTTTGAGTCACAGCTGTCATCACTATGTATTATGTTAGCCTTGAGGCTGTTGGTTCAACTAGAGCTGAGGTCTTCAACAGGAGGTCCGCGGACCCTAGGGGTTCCACAGAGGTACTGCATGGGGGTCATGAAAAGTTTGGTTGATTAGACTTTTTTTTTCTTTTTTTTTTTTTAGTAGACTGCAATTTTTTCCACTAATTGAAATGTCTTTAAGTCCATAACATGACAACACACTGTTATAAACAGATAAATGGAGGCAGAAGACGTCTTTCAGTCATCAATGCACACAATGACACACAGGAGCTCTTTCAAGCTGGGCACCGTTTCCTTCACAACACCTGTCCCATCAACCAGGAATCAGAATCAGACATACTTTAATAATCCCAGGGATTTATTTTCGTTACATTACTCCATCTATAATAGTGACTATAGGACCAGTTTGATATAACATAATTTCATACAATATAGTATATAATCAGGGGGTCCTTGGCCTGAAAAACTTTGAAAACCTCTGAACTAGAGCAAATAAAACAGTCTTTCCTTTTAGTTTTCTTAGATAGAAGTGAATCTGAGGTACGGTGTACATTTTTGGACATCCTTAGGTCAGGAAATGTTGGCCATCCCAGCAGATATCAAGTTTAACACTAAATGCTAAAAACAACCACCAATCCTCCATTTCCCACAATTCATTGCAGGTCAAAGCAAATTGGTCAGGCAATGACAGAGGATTGGGGCAAAAACTGTGATTAAAATTGAGATATTACTGTGATGTTTTTAGTAGAGAATGTAGCTTTGTTAAAGTGAAATATTTGCTCAGTGGATCAATATTTCCCAGAATAGAAAAAAAAGAGCTCTTATTAAAAAAGGTGGTTTTATTTCACTGATGATTTATCTTTCTGAGCTCTTCTCTGTATTGTGGGAATTTGGTCTATTATTTCTGCAATCAAAGAACAAGTTTTGTAAATGGATATTTGAAGAAAAAAAAAAAAGCACTCCATTTCTATGAATAAAACAATAACACAAGAAAACGTCTTTAAAAGAAATAGATTTAATGTTAGCCCAACTCTTTCAGCTGATTTGTGGAATTTAAATCATGTGGTTTTGTTAAAAAAAAAACAGTAAACATTTCCTTTGTAAAATAAGCTTTTTTTAGATGAAATATATGATTATTTTAATAATCTAACATCGCAAAATGTGTTGCTGCACAAACTTTGTAAACGGTTGCATCTTACTGGGCCTAATACAGAGATTAGTTTATCCTTTAAGTGAAGATTTATTGATTTTAATAAATCAACTAGCACCTCTGATAAGGGTGGTCAACAGGAAACTCGCGTGTAACAGTTTTCTTTATTCTACAGACAAATTTCAAGCGTACGACATGATGGGACAGGAAACCATAACCATCAGCTACAGCCAGGTATGAACAGAAACGGCTTGAATCTTGGATACATTTCTATAGAGTTACTGCTGCAGAGGTGGTTTCTAGAGCTGATTATTCATGTGTAATGTTAAGCTTTTCCAGTTTCTGCAACTTTAAATAAATTGTCATGTCGTCAGCTTTATTGATGCTAATTTACAGTTTTACAGACTAGTAAACAGGGCCTCAAAAAAAAAAAACCCCACAAAAAATATATATTTTTACATTTTATTATTAGAATATAAGAAGTTATTTCAGATTTTTTTTTTTATTAAAAAGTTTCTGCTGACCTGTTTGTGCTTTCTTTCCCATTCATCTCGTAACTTCTTCTCCGTTTGGTTCCAGTGGCTCCACATGACGATGTACAACTAGAGCAGACCTGGTCCAGCTGGACGGATTCACCACAATCTACTTTGCTTTTTTGCGCCATGTTATCGTTTTTATTGTTTGAGAATAGTCAATGTGCTACCCAAACTGCTGGACAAAAGAATCCAGCTGTAACCATGGAAACAGGATCAGGGATGTGCATATCCAGGTTCAAGCAGCAGCTCCAGATGGGCTGTTTAATTTGGATTTCATGATTAAGCTCCATGTTATTGAAAGCTACATTTACACTTAGTTCTTTGATTTCTGCGCTAATGTTTGATGTATGGCAAGAATATTTCAATAAATACATTTACTAAAGATTTTAAATTATAATGCCCCATTCATTTCTTTATTACAAAGATCTAAAAGCTTGATTTATTTTTTAATTCAAGATAAATCAACATCTTCCCAATTGTACAGCTCCGGATTTCTGTGCGATGACAAATGGTGCTGGAGGAATTGGATTTAAGGAAAATATAAATGTTTAATGTTCTGATAGCTGCTTATTCTGGCTAAATCCTGAACTAAAAACACCAGAATCAGTTCCGTTTCTTGTGGAGATTAAATAACTTCAGTAAATTTGTCCCAGTGCTTTGATATTTAGATTTTTTTTTAGACGGAGGACAGAAAAACCTCTGCATCTTCCAACAGAACTCTTTTAGCTATTCGGCTAAAAACCCAAATCTCCTTGAATCAAATGACAAAGCAGGGCCAGTCTGTACAATAGTTATGCTCTGCATGACGGATCGCTGGTTAAAAATCCTTCAGCCAAATCTGTAAATCATCCAACAAGCAAAACCAGTTTAATTAGGAATCGATAAAAACAGCAACTTATGGTCATATGTTTAAATAACGGACATAAATTACTGTAAAAACCCCAAGTGGGAAATTTGGGCAGTTTTAAGGCCCAGAATGATCATTATTAGTTATTATAGACCTTTTATTGATGCGGTTGAATCTAAAGTTAAATATAACCAGCAGGCTTGCTTCCAGCAGCCAGTCTATTGCACATTTTAAATTATTGCATTAGAAGAGCTTGATTTAAAAAAAAAAGAAAAGAAAAATTCAGGTAAACAGTCAATTTCTCCAAAAATAAAGGTTTCATTTTTAACTTTAACCATTTTAATACTAGGGCTGGGTGAAAAAAAAAATAAAAAATCCATTTAATAGATTTTGAATTGATTCCTTTACATTTTTTCAAAATCGATGTCTAGGGAATGAGATAGATTAGTTTTATAGTGACCCTCATCACGCTCAGATTCAAATGCAGATTCAAATGAGCAGAAAAAAAAAGATGCACTCAAGCTACTTCAAGCCAGACAGCTGCTAATATAGCCAATAGGTTGACTGAAGATATTAACAAATGGGGGTTGAGCAGCAAACACCCTGTAGTTGTTAGAGACAACGCTGCAAATATGGTTTGTGCATTGAAGATAATGCAGCTCATGCCTGTCTGCTGTGTCCCTGCCGTTTCACGTCCGCTTGCTTAAGTGAGGTTTCGCTTTTTCACTTTTCACAAACAAGTGAAAACAGTTATGTTCACATCTTAAGTTTAAACTGTCTGATTAACAAGTTTGCGCTTTGTGTTTAATGTGACAGGAAAAATTTCAATACATGAGTATTGTTGAAACACAGTTTAACCACTTTCATTTCTGTAAAAACAGACTGAATCTAAATTAATGGATTTAGAACTGTATGAATCAAAATCCAATCGATTCAGGACTTTGGCATAAATACCCAGCCCTACTAAATACCCCAAAAATTACATACTTTTTCAAGTTAATTCAGCCCCAATGGATGTAACTGTCTTCGTTTGCATTTTCTTAATTTTGATAGTTCACTCAAAATTCTCAATTCATGATGTCAGATTTCATAATTTGTAGAAAAGTTTCGGATTAACAGAATCAACTGCTTTGTGATTTCAACTTTAACAAAATATGAAGTTTAAATCCAATAAAAATACTTTATTATTCAAGTTTTTGTAGATGTGGAAAGAATGTGTATTACAGGTCAGAGGCTCCAGAGTGAAAGCATCAGACGAGTCGAGGTGTTTTGTAAGGAAACTTTTATGTGTGCTTTGTGAAAGTCATGTATCATTAGACAGAAGGCGATGCAGTTTCCAGTACAGCAGATAAGGTTTGATATTAAAGAGTACAAAAAAAGAAAAAAATAATCATTTCAGAGTTCATTCCTCTCCATACTATCCTAACAGGGTTTCATCCGTCCCCCCGTCTGCCCCCCCTTCCTCATCAATGGCAGAAATTACTCTAATTTAGCCGGAAACCTGTTGAAGGTCGATCACAATATGATTGCATAGTTTCTGTTTTCTTATAATTCTGGTTATTTGAACATGATGGGAATATTCAAACAACTACTCCCCTCCTCTGAATCAGTATTCCTCTTCAGACAGGTTGGGGGAGGGAAGATGGGGGCAAAGGAGGAGAGACAGAGGGCAGATTTTTCTCCGCAGTGGGAAGATAGGAATCCAGTAATTTCAGAGATAATTTTCCGTATTCAGATCGATGAACAGGAACAAGTAATGATCTGCTTTTCCACAAGTGGTTTCCTCTCCTTCCTTAAATAGGAAAAAAAAAACAAAACAAAAAAAAAACACCCAGAAGATCAAACATGTTTGCTGATAGAAACCGATGGAACTGCTGCATGTGTCACCGGCCCTTTAAATTTGATCTTTCCTCTTTTATAAACAAATTTCACTGAAAGCTGCGGCCTGTTCCTCAAACTGGGAATGTTTGCTCAGGTCGCCTCTTCCAGTAAACCCCCCCACCCCTCCCTCCCTCCCCCCCCAGGCATATATCTCTCTAGGATCTAATACACAGATCTTGCCAGCTGCCACATCAGACCCCGCCCCCTAACCCCCCCGCCCATCTAACCCCTGGCAAGGAAAAAAACAAAAACAAAAAAAATTATAATAAAATAAACAAAATTAGCATAAGTATCAGATTAGCTTGCGTGACCCCCAGCCCGGTCCAAACTGCTGCCCCCTCCTCCCGGGTTGACCCCACAAAAAACAAAACAGAGGCTGAAGCCAAGGACCCGTAGTGCTGCCCCTGGATGTGCCTGTTCAGTTTAACCTTCAGGACCAACAGTTCAATCTACAAGCTGAGGGTCATAAAAATATTCTGGTTCTCAAACCGGCCCATTCAGGAGCACCGCACAGAAACACTAGACGCCGCCCCATCTTCTAGCCCCCCCTCCCCCGGTGCTTTTCTACAGGTCGCTCTCTCCGTACAGGGCGGTGGAGAAGGACATGTAGTCCAGGGCGCCAGGGACAGCGTCGGGCCCGGCGTAGGGAGCCATGCGAGCGATGCAGTACTCTGCCTGGTCCGGGGGGAGCTCCCGCCTCAGCTCGTCCGCTGTGATGAAGTTCTGATGGGAACAAAAAAAGGCAGCAGTCAGAGACAAGACAGACAAACCAGATCACAAGGTGTGTCTGTTCAACTGAGCGAGCATGCTGCGGCAGACAGGAGGCACCTCAGAGGATCAGACACCAGAACGCCAGGAGTAATTACACTAATATACATTTATTTTTTTTAAACAAATTAATTTTTTTTAAACAAATACAGATCATTGAGGCTGCTTCAAATTATTTCACTTTCAACTTAAAATTATTTAAAGATTAAAAACTCAGTCAACTTCCAGCTTTTTTGTAATAAATTCCACACACAAGGAGCTGCGTAGCTAAAGGCTTCCTTCCCTAGTTGTGTGCGGGCAAAAGGAACAGTGAGCAACAGCTGATCGTTGGATCTCAGGGCAGAAGAAGCCATGCTTTTCTGTGTAAGTAGGTACAAATGTAAGAGGGCAGTAATCCAACAAGGGCCTTGGAAATAAAAGTGTACCAATGACACTGCCTTCTGGTAGAGAGGGAAGGCCATCCCACCTGAGAGTACAGGTCACAGTGATGTCATGGCTCTACAGTTTGTGATGAACCTTAATGAAGCGTGGTAAACAGAATCCCACATTTGGAGACATGAAGTAGCAGTCTTATAAAAAAAAGGTCACCATAATCTAAGACCGATAAAAACTAGGCAGAGACAAGGCGCATTTTTACTCCAAAAGAAAAACATGTCTTATTACGAAAGAAGAAACCCAGTTTAACTTTTACTTTCTTAACAAGTTTATCAATAAAAGGTTTGAAGGTGAGGAAGTCATCAATTACAATTACAAGGTATTTATATTCATGTTCCACCTCAATGACATTCCCCTTATTTAAGATTAAAAAATGAAAACTGTACAGCAACAAAGGCTTTCTGTAGGAAATAAATAGCTTGTTCAAGAGATGATCCAAAGCAATAAACAATGTTATCATCAGTATAAAATGCATATTAGCATCAGAGAGATTTGGCTCAACATTGTTGATGTACAAGATAAATAAGAGGGGGTCCAAAACAGAACCTTGTGGCACAGCCTTGTGAACAGTAACAAATTCAGAACACAGCTCCTCACATTTTATACACTGGGATCTGTTTTCTAGATAATTTGAAAACCAAGCAACCGCATGCTCTGACAGTCCAATGAGAAGCAGCCTGCATTTTAAAACAGCATGGAGTCAAAAGCTTTTGAAAGATAAAGAGTGAAGCACAGCACTGTTTTTTATCAAGTGCTACAATCATGTCATTTATCACCTTCATAGTAGCAGTAATAGTGCTGTTTTTTTTCTGAAACCTGATTGATATTTAGAAAGGATTTCATTTGAAAAAAACTTGAAGCAAATCGTTTCCGCATTAATCAATACCTTTTAAGTGTAAAGGACCACAGGACTTTCTGCTGCCCCACCTGGTACCACTGATTCTTGAACAAATTTGGTTTGAAGTTCCTACTGCAGGATAAATAGCTCTGGGCTTTGACTAGGCCATTTTCATCACCACTTAATTTAGATTTGCTGCTGTGTTACCTGGTTATCAGAGTCTTCCTGGACAACTTTTCTACATTTAAAAACTGAATCTATTTTATCCTGCCTAAATATCCTACAGGTGCCGCTGTAAGAACATTCTGTTGACTTTCTCCGTCACACAGACTCACCTTATCGCCAGCCAGGATCTTGAAGGAGGCGATGACCTGGTCTGCGGTGTCCGTGTCGGTCGTTTCCCTGGACATGAAGTCGATGAAGGCCTGGAAGGTTACGAAGCCGGTGTTGTTGGGATCTACGATGCCCATGATGCGGTTAAACTCTCCGTCGCCCTGACAACCAAGAAACTACAGGTTAACCCGGAACGGACAGCAGCTTGTGTCAGACACAAAGGTTGTTAAAGGAAGGGAAAAAAAACATCACGACTTCGGTTAAATGGAGCCACCCACTGAACTGAAGTCTGGATGCTTTACTGTTCCACTCATGCATGTGGACAAACGGTTTGAATGAAGGTTGATAAACAACAGAAATGAACGGGACAAGTTTCTAAGGTTTTTTTTAGACTGACGACACTCGACATGTGTAGAAGGAGAGAAACACAAAGAACAGATGTGAGAGTTTTAAAGAACCAGCAGGGTGTCTGCAGGTCAAGATCCTGGATTTAATTATCATCCCTGATCTGTGATGGATTCAAAGACCAGTTCTTCCCAGACCCAAACCACGGCAAAATGTTTAGACTTTAGAATAATATTTCAGGACATTATTTTTCTGAAAACAACAAATGCAAAAGGTAAAGAGAATAGAGAATAGGTAGATGAATATTTTATTCATCTACCTAAATTACTGCTATCAAACTAATAGTTAAATAACAAGTATTTGTTATGTTAAAAAATAAACGACTGGTGTTAAAGTGTCTTTTTAAAGAAGTAGTTCTTATATTTTTACATGATAAACCATAAAATACGATCAATAATCAGTTATAAAACCGCAAACTTGTTAACCCAAACTTTTTCTGCTCCATGACATAAGAGAACGAAATACATTTATATTTCTGTTCCTTATAACCATGGACACCACAAAGCTCACTGCTTTTAAAGATACACATTGAATATGATGTATATATACACACACACTCATTATGAATGGCCGACGCATCCATCGAACCATCAGAGCCAATAGGAACTGTGTCCGTTTCTAAAAATCACAGCAAATAGACGGGAAAAAGCTGACAACAGTCAGTAAGCACATTTGTAGCTATGAGAACAATGGATGACAGAATCCATGTGGAAATATTTAAGCTAAGATGGATTATATAGTGAAGGAAAGACAGCGGCTGATGGCACCCCTGATAATATTGGAAAGAGCAGTTTGGGTTTAGATTAATAACATTTCTCCATAGCATTGCTCTGCTTTTTTTGCATTCATTTGTCTATTTTTTATTTAGCTGCTTAGTGTGCTTAGCGGATAGGTTGGATGTATTTTGATTCATTTTCTAGGCCAATGTTCTTAAATTCCTTCGACTGGATTAAATGGGTTTAACATTTAACATGAACCCCTTACTTTCCTTTGTCTCCGCTCTAAATGGATGGTAAAACTAGAGGTCGTCCTGTTTAATCCTGGAGGACGCAGAACATTTCCTATTAAGAGTTTTTTTTTTTTTCTTTCCCTTTTCTTCAAACGCTTCTTGGTTTGAAAAGAAAGAAATATATAAAAATCTATAATAATCAAGGAACCAACAGTTATGGTGTTAAAAACCATGTCTGGTCTGAGATGATGGGATCCAGTGATGCTCTGATCCTTGATGTTTTTGATTTACATGCAGTGTGACATGCGTCTGGAGGTGAACATCAAAGGGATTTATGTTTTGCATGATTATTCATCTTTTTAATTAAACTACAAAGCCTTAAACCGGCCTGGTTACAATTAGTCAATGCCAAATAAAACGGGTCTCCATCCCTGGTCCTGATGTTGAGTTTTAAAGAAAAACAAAATAGAACCGTTGGCCGCCTGGTTCAGCCCTGCAGACACCCTGAGGAGCACCAAGCATCAGCAGCAGTACCAGACTGTTTCCTGTAGCAATGAGCAGAGCCCTGAAATCATCCGAGACCATCTGTCCTGATCGCTTCTGCAGCCGCCGCAGGGGGGAGGAGTCAGAGACGAAGACAAGATAGAGAGGGAGGCGTGACGGACAGAGATATACAGGTAGAGGAAGGTGGAGGAGGTGAGAAGATAAAAACCACAGACTGTTAACAGCAGCAGCTTCAAACAACCAGACAGACATATAGAGAAACAGAGCCCCCTCCTGGACAAACGAGGACATAGCAGCGCTGTTGGATCTCCACACTGACGGAGCATCAGAGCAGGAGGGTCGACTGATCCCTGATCCAGTTCTTAACTTTTAAACTCATTTATTCCATTTGAAAAGTATCAGAAAATCAAATGGAGGGAATAAAATATGTGTTAATTAAAAGAAACTTAAAGGAGAAAAATGCTGCCTCAAAGAGTTTCTCCTATGATTTAAATTTTGCCTCCAGTCCAGTCCCTACCGAGTCTGATCATAGCAACATTCAGCTCCTCTCTGGAGGAGATCAGCGCCGTCCTGCTCAGATTGTAATCAGCAGCGACTCGGTCCTACCTGCTTGTCGTTCTCCACATCGTAGCCCAGACTGATCAAACAGGCCTTGAACTCGTCCGCCTTCAGGGCCCCGCTGTGGTCCTGAGGTCGGCCAAACGCATCATGAGGATGAGCAGACACAGCGCATGCAGGGAGAAGATGGAGGACGAGGGGACACACAGATGGACAGCGATGGATGTTTAGACAATGTCAACAAAAACAAACCGACAAGGACTGAGGAGCAGACATGAACGATGGACCTGCAGACATCTGGATGATCACTAAAATGCTGATGATATAAACCTCACAGAATAAACAGCAGCATGAAGATGTGTGTGCGGTGGGATGTGATCTTAGCGAGCACAGAACTGAAACAGCGGGATGAGATGATGAAGGATGGCGGTGACCTTTTCATCCTCATGATGTTTCAGATCAAGTTTAACGGAGCACAGAAACAAACGGGCAACTAAAACAGGGTCAGTTATAAACAGGCTCAACAAGATGTAGAAGATTCTTATAACTAAAACATCGCAGTGGCTTAATCTCACTGACCAAAGTAGAAATATTTCAGGTAGATTCTTTCAGTAGCGGGAAATCACTACATTTTCCTTCCACTGAACTTTCTCTGAACTGGATCAGATGAGGCACTGATCGACCGGCGTCACCTGAAACCACCTTTTGTGGCTCATCCTGCCTGTGCTGAAAGTTGGGTCAATCTTTTAGATTTTAAAATAATCACATTTTTTGAGACTGAAAAATTTGAATCTTTTTTCCTGTCAGCCACAATTAAAATGACAGGTCATAAAGGCTTAAAGAAGTTCAATTATTTCTTTAACGAACTTATGAATTTCCCTTTTTGAAACCAAAAATATTGTAGTTTTTATATTTCGCCAAACATTCTTTTCCTCTTTCTTCATATTCTCTCTCTTACAAAGGTAGTTTAATATATTTTAAGGCCTTACACTTTATTACTGTTAATTATATAACCAAATGTCCTGTTATAAAAACAAAAAACAAAAAACATGATTCCTACCAGAAAATACTAAATATTTCCATTTCTAAACAAAACCACACAAAATTCACCTCAATCCAAGCTTCCTTATGGGCACTGCTGTCTGAACTATAAACAGCTCTGAAATTCAGCTCCCATCACAACAGGATTAAAAGCTGGAGCCTATTTTTCTACACAGAAGCAGAAGCGATGTGATTCCTGCAGGCCTCAATCAGGAGGAATAACGAGCTCCAGGCCCTGACCTTATCAAAGTGGTTAAAGGAGGCGCGGTACTCGTAGAGCTGCTCCTGGCTGATGCCCTTGGCGTCACGCGTGAGGATCTGGTTCTCCACCTCGTTGATGGTTCTGGCGATGGTGGTGAGCAGCTGCTCCCAGCCCACACGGAGGTGCTGCAGAGGGAAAGCAACAATCAGCAGCAGTTCCAGCAGCTTTACTACATGCTTCAAATTGTTAAGAGCCGAAGCTGCATCTTCATTTCTGCAAACGTCTGGATTTCACCTTCCAGACTGAATTCTCACCAATAGAGACATTTTTTGTCCACAGATTCTCAGTGCAGTTTAGATATGGAGAGTTTGAAACTGGCTGGTGATGTTTCAGCGTACCTCCATTGTGTAGGACGTGTACTGGTTGTCAAAGATCAGAGCCTCCTGGATGTGCTGGTGGTAGCCCTCCAGCTTGTTGATCTCAGGCATGTAGGACATGATGCTCTTCTGGTATTCCTGCAGGTTGGTCAGCTGGTCCTCCAGGGTGCCGTTCATCTCGATGGATATCCTGCCTATTTCCTGCCGGCGAGCACAAACATGAAGCGTTAATGGCTGTCAGAGGTGAGTGGAGGACGGAAGAGGAAACTAAATTGTTCTCAACACATCCGTTACCTCCATCTTGGCCTGGATGTAGGCGCCGACCGTGTTGGCCTGTTTGGCGAACGTGGCTCTGAGCGAGTCGTTGGAGTTCTGTTTGTTCAGCTCATCCTGCAGGGCGGTGTCTCGCTGCGGCACCATGGCCATCGCCTGCAAAACACAAACGCACGCTGGTTTGAATCGAACCCCAGAGGGAAAGAACAGCTTTACAAACAGGTGGCCGTCAGGCTGCAAACACACCTTCTCCCACTTGCTGTCGATGCTCTGGGGGGTGATGGTGGTGTAGGGGTTTGCGCCGCTTAGCTTGATACCGTTGCTCTGGGCGATCTTCTGCACCTCAGCCTGGATGGCCTGGATGGCCTCGCGCTCCTTGTTGGCCTCAGGCAGCGTGGACTTGAACTGCTCGTGGGCTGTGATCAGACCCTGATGGAGGAAACACGGACAGGTATGAGGGGAAGTTTCTGACAGCTGTAGCTGATTCACGTTTGGCTGGAACTGATTATTCAATCTGATTTAAAAATCAGATGCTTCTGTTCTACCAGATCATAAGGCTCTTATAATAAATAAATGTTATTTTCCTCCTCAGGCACCTGCTATAAACAGCTGATTAGACTCCTCAGTCCATCAGCTCTACACTGATGAAGAAAATCACCTTTCATCAAAACATCACAATCAAATAATGACTCTGTTCTTTCAGGGTGACAAGCTGCCCTGCTTTAGCTCATTCACACATATTCTAGCCAATAATGACCTTTCAGTCTGATGCTGCTGATTTTCTACCTCTGGACTGTAATGCACAAAACCAGAAATTTTCCAGGTTTTATCTTCGAATTCAACAGAGAATTTAAAAATGAATTTAAATTCATTCCCATTTATTCTTAAGCTGGGACATCCACTTCCAGTCCCAAACATTACAGAACCCAAATATTAATGCAACAGACTAGTTACCCCCTAAAATATACACACAATCCCTTCACTCTATAATTATATACAAATACAGGGTGAAGCAAACATACCTATTTTTACATATTTTTTTTGCAAAAACGACTTAACTAATCAATTTACCATAAATGTATTTTTAATTATTTACAGCAACATTTAATGATCTAATTGTGCATTTGATCATTTTTTATATATATTTACATTTGCATCAAAATAAATACCATGTACAAATAATGAATAGTTTTTCATTTCAAATGCATTATTCATTTATTGTGAGATTTTATAATTTTTAGATGTATCTACTAAATAATTCCCCATATGCATACATCACATATATAAATACAAAACTAAATGCATTTTATATGATATTCAAACAACTTATAATTTAGTTTTTTTATTATCTACAACTGAATGGTATATTTAATATTCTAATCAAATATTAGATTAATAAATTAATTTTACAAATAAATGTTATAATTAAATCATTTCTACTTATTTCATGGTAGATTAATTTGTTTCAGTCACATTTAGTTTTTTTCTTTATACATTTATCCCTCAGGGATCAGGTCATGATCTCCTGAACTCCTTTTTATTAACTCTTGCTCTGGATCCTTTATTCAGCAACTTTTATCTACATCAGTTCTCTAATATACCCGAATCACACAACAAGCTAACAACCAGGAATCTGTGGAGCTGAATGACTGAATAAAGGCCTTAAAGTGCGTGCTGATGGTTGGCAGGTTTTAATGTGAAAACAGAAGCTCTTATTTTTAATTTTATATGAAAATGAAATGCCAACCTCTCTGTATTTTACCCGCTTGTTTGAAATCAGAGCCAATTAACTAAAAACTGAGAAACTTCAGTGACCGAACTGATTGGTGCAACTCAAAAATTTTAAAGAGGATCTTTGGGTCCAATTAGTTCTCAGACAGAATGTAAGTTTTAAACTGTCCAGAATGCAGATTGACCAGAATCAGATCCCCGCACTGAAACCGCCACTCGACATTAACATCAAAGCTATCAGTCTTGTTCTAATGACTGGAGTTTCCAGGTACCTGGATCTCCTCGATGTTGTGAACAATGAACATGTCCTGCAGGTCCTCCATTGCTCCCTCCATCCAGTTGTTGAACGGCGCTGCTCTCTTGGCGTACTCCAGGTAGAGCTCATCTATCGACTCCAGCTGCTTCTCTGTTCTCTGTCGGTTAAGGAAAGGAGACGACAGGTTAGAGTGAAGATGGCTCAGTGACACAGTGGCAAAACAAAACCAAGTCCCCTTAATCTGGTTCATATAGACAGATATCTGTACAGCAGTGAAAACATGTAGGATTTATAGTCGAGTGTACAGAACAAACTATATAAGAAGAGTCTCGGTTTGGATGGTCTGGATCAGTCTTACCTCCAGTGACTCTTTGCGCCTGTGGGTGAGGGATCCCAAAATGTCCCACTGTTCACAGATCTTCTGGCAGCGAGCGTTGACGCTGGCAGCGTCGTAATAGTCCAGTTCACTGTTAGAAACAACTCGGGTTAAAGCAGACATCGCTTAAACTGCCCACCCCACGGTTTCCATGGCTACATTTCCTTCAGCTTACTTGAGCTCCTGAGCGATGGCAGCGATTTGCTCCACCCGGTCCTGGTGGGCCGCTAGGTCGCTCTCAAAGGCCTCGTGTTTCCGTAGCAAAGCTTTCACTTCTGACAGGGTAGAAGTCTCGTAGTCTTTCTGGGTCAGCATGGCCTCTTTACCTGCAGATGTTTTCAAGAATCATTCCCTGCTTTTACCTCCAGACAGTTTCAAACCCTGCGTCCTCCATCTGATAGTCTAATGTAGCAAAGTTCACCACAAACATCCACATACGTGCATCTACACACCGTAAAGAAACATTTAACATGGCGTAATCCTACCATCAGTCCAGGATTCATGGATGGCAGCCTTCTGGTGGAACTTCTCAGCCAGATGCTCCAGTCTCTCCAGACGCCTGATCTCGCTAAGAATCCATTCCTCATAGCCCTTCTCTGCTCCCTCCAGGGTGTGCCACGCCGTGTTTATATCCTGGACGCAAACAACACTAATTTAATAGGATAAAAGTATGTGGTAATTTACCAGAAACAGTTTGACATCAACTGCAACCGCTGAACTTTTCTGTTAAGATGATAAACTTAATGGACATGGAAGTGTTTTTACTAGTCAGTTATAAATAATCAAAGGAAGCAATCAATAAAGGCTAAGCAAATAAAAAAAAAATGGCTGCTTCCACTTTTAAGCATAAGTTATTTTAATTTAACTAAAGTTTAATAGAAATGATTAAAGCTAAATCATACTTGCTAATACTTCTGTCACTAAAGGAGCTCATGTAGGCAAACTCATACATGCGTTTGCAGATAAACCCCTCATAGATTAAGCCCCAGAGGGATCTACTTACAGAAACCATGCGTCCTTCTGATGGCATGAAGGCAGGTCTGTTGTTCAGTCTCAGTTTGGTCTGCAGAGTGTTGAAGCTGATCTCCAGCTGACATTTCTCTTGGACCTGAGAACAGGATCGGTTTGAATCAGTGATTAGTTTCAGCAGGGGCAGAAAAACTAAAAAACAGCTTTTTGAATGACCTCAGATTGAATCCGTACCTTGGGTGGTTTGTGCACTGTACGGTAGTCTCTGAAGTCTTCCTGTCGGGCCTGCAGGTCTTTAACCGTCTTCTCTTGGGTTCGGTTTTCCAGCCAAGGGATCGTCCGACGAATCCACTCTAGCAGCTGGATTAAAAGCAGGATAAGAATCCAGAAAATGAAAAAAACAAAATAAATCTGTATAAAGAACTCGTGTTGCGTTTTAACGAATCACACTTACGTCACTGGCCAGTTTCTCGTAGTCCTCCATCATTTGTTCATTCTCCTGGTTGACAGCCAGCACTTTGCAGATGCGGTTGGCGGCTGTCTCAGCCTATCATAAAACATCCATAAAGATTTTAAACTCTCCTCTTTCTAAAGATTACATCCAGCAGACAGGCTTTACAGTCACTAGCCTTTCCAACCATATCAGATTAGTATCTCTGGGTTTGAATAACTAAACTTCTTTTAATTTAGTGAAAAAAAATTTCCACACGCAGGCAGTTAATATTTCAAAAAGTGACAAACCTGAAACTATCTTTAACACATAGCTTAATTTAGCTAATAATAGCATGCAAGCTGCTATTAATTTGGTGATAAAAAAACCGCAAAGATCAGTGTGTTCAAACTCCATGCGTCTCCCATCAGAACCTGGGAATCAACCCATTCATCTAGTTACAGATTTATGGAACGCTGAAGTCCACATCACTGCATCATCTGCCTAGGATATAACCTACGGTACCACTGGAATAAAAGACAACACACAGGAAAATGGGATTATCTTTTTAAAGTCTGTGTACTAATTTACAAACTACTGTTTTTTTTCCTCACATTAATGTATAAATTCAACATGATAAAACAATTTCATTGTTGTTTGAGAAATGTTAACAGCAGAAGAAGAGGCTGGACTCGTCAGCAAAGTTTTCCAACAACAGGATATTTAAAATATGGACCGGACTGCGTGGAAAACTCAGCTGATGTCCAAAGACCAAGAAGTGGAAGAACGTGAGAGGTTTTGCTGGTCTACAGAGTCCCCATCATGTTTCTGAATAAAATCTACTTTAAGAACATGAAACTGAATCCCTGATCTGTTACCGTCTGGGATGCTGACTGATGGAAACCCTGTGGGGTCTGAAGGTTTATCTCAGCTGGGTTGAGGTGTTAGTGTGATTTCCAAGCGTGAGGCCCTCACCTTCTGTGCGCCAGAGAAGGCGTGATAGAAGCAGGATACGTAGGTCATTATGGCCTTCTCATCCGGCCTCAGAGTACCAACGATGTCTAAAGGTTCCCCCCAGCACAGCAGAGGTGGGCAGAGAGAGAGAGGGAAAACAGAGAGAGTGAAGCCAAAGCTGAAAAGACCCAAAGCTCTATGCTTCCAGCCCCCAGCAGGTCGGAGGGGGAGGCTGCTCCGGTCCACACCTCAAGCTTCTTCCTAGAACTCCTATCACCTTCCAAAGACGGGATACCAGAAAGGTTTCAGAGGTCGGGACACAAACACACACGACTAAAGAATTTGCCTGAATGAATCTGCAGATTTTTATGCTGAGAATTAAGATGATGCTCAAAGGGACAGGAAAAAAAAAAAAATCCAAATCCTGCAAGAACAGGTTCAACATGAGTGGCACTGAACATTCATACATACTAGTGAGATACTGAGTCTCAAGGCTGGTATAAAAAATGGCTGCCCAATGAGAAATTTGGAGCACACCTAACCCCACACTTTCTGCAGATTCATTTCAGAAACACTTCAGCTATCAGCACTAAACGTGTGTTTGTGTCCCAACATGTACAAGATCCCCGTTTAGTCAGTGAGTGAGACCATGCTGGACAGGAATCTGCAGGTTGTTAGTAAAAGGAGGTCAAAGGTCAGGTCAGTGGGTACCTTCTGTGCTCCAGAGAATGCATGGTAGAAACTGGACACATAAGTCATTATGGCTTTCTCATCTGGACGAGCAGTGTTCACAATGTCTACGATGGGGGGGGAGACCGTGGTTATGAACACAGACATGTTTATAACGACATGCAGATACAGATAAAACAAGCAGGCTGGGGACGCCTCAGCAGATCAGTCCCAGAGTGGAAAACTGAATTATACACATGTTTCAACAATAAACACAAAACAGAATAAAAAAGCAGACATATGATACAACATGAGGAAAGATTAGACCTGGAGACGTCTGATCTGCAAAAAAAGGAAATGATCAAACTGCAGCTGCATTTCCATGCACATCTTCATCCTCCTTAGCAGCAGGGTGAACAGCTGTGAGGCACAGCACTGATCTGCATCGTGTTGCACATTCATGCTCAAGATGTTTCTCCAAAAAAAACTGCAGACTAAATATTTTAGAAAAGTACTGCCGTTTTTAGATGCAATGTTTGGTATCAAAGTTCTTTAGCAACAGAAGCAGGTTTTAGTCTCACAGATGTTTATATTACACATCTGGACATTTCTTCAGAAATCAGAGAAGCTGAATAAAGAAAAAAATGATTATTGTTAGACATACTTTTAAATTTAGTGTTTAGCTGAGGGAAACAGGATTCAGCTTAAGATGAACTAAAGATTTCTAGACATGTTACTAAATCCTGAAAGGCTTAACAATAAAACCTGATGAATTTTTTCCTCATTAATGTTCAGAAATAAATGGTTTAAAGTTTTCATCTCTATATTCCACAGGTTTTATTAGTTCTCAGCTGAAATTGGTTTTTCAGCCTCCTTGATTGTATCTCTACATTCTTGTCTGATGGATGCTGTTAACATGAAAACAATGACCCATCAGTTGTTTTTTAGGTTTTCTGCTAAATAAAGATTATTGTTATTACTACACAGGAAACAGTTCGACTGGTCACCCTGGAGCCCTCCTACTGTTACCGTGAAATCAGGCCAGAGTGCAGCTGCAGTCACATGCAGGCCAGCGATGACCAGAACAGGTTCAAATATTCTCTGCAAACAGTTAATAATTAAGGAGATTTTCTCTGAATTATTTGCATCGCTTACAAAGGAACAACCTTTTTTTTCTTTCCACGCGTCACCTTGTTTCTGCTGTGGAAGCACAGCCTTCACTGTGGATTACTGTGTAACTTTGAGCATACCTTCAGCGTCCAACATTTTGGGGATGTCCAGGTGCTTCTCAGCCACCTCGAAGGCATTGTTCAGATTAGTAACGGGGTCGTCCTGACAGAAGGAAAACACGTGTCATTTTTTAAAATCTATATTAAGGTAGAAGAAACCCTGTGAAATGTATAATTAGACAGAAGAATGAGGGAACCTTTCTGAGGCTATCATAGTCGATGAGATCGGGTCTGTGTCTGTGGATCAGAGCGTTGAAGGCGAGACCATCCTTCCAGCTAATGGGAGAAAATTATTTATTTAAGGGAAAATCAAACATTTTGTTTGTGTTTATATCAACATTAAAAAGCTTAATTCAGATCAGAACAAAGACGTAAACCTCGGCTAAAACATAAAAATACCATCTGGACTATATTACTTTATTAATACAATTTGAGCAGCAGGAAATGTTCAGCTCCCTCCAGTAGGGGGCACTGTTTCTACAGAATTACAGGGAGATATTCTCTGGGGAAAACATGAGATCTTTGGCAGCATTCAGCCAATTAATTACTACAGATTGAGAATCAAAGATTTTCATTACAGACCTGCTTCATGTTTCATTTAATTTCATTAAAAACTGGTCGACTAATTAAAAACGCTTGGTGGCGTCACTCCAACAACCTCCAAGGTTAGATAATAACTTTCTTCTAATTGAAGCTGTTTTAAATAAATGATCAATGGTGCTTTAGAACAGTCAGAAGCAGACGTTTGGGTTACCTAATGTGGAAGTTCTGCACATTGACGTTCTTGTACGGCGCCGTCTTCCTCTGGCACCACAGGAGGAGACCCTCCTTGGCAGAGGTCTCTGCAATGAGGAAGAGGAGAAGGCGTGGTCTTCATCAGAACTGCATGTTTCAATACCAAGAAGTTGGTCGCTGATCCAGAGCAGGGATCAGACTCTTAATATCTGATTAAAAAACAACTCAACAAACATGGACTCCTTCTTTGCCATTTTTAAATGTGTGGTATCGTTTTTTTTTGCCAGCTAGTTTAAGTGAATCTTTGTGTTTCGCGGTGGAGAAAAAAGAAAACAAATTATGCAAGAAAATATTTTCCAATCAACAATTTCAGTTAAGGTTCAATATTTATCATTCATAAACTAAGATATATCTGGATAGTTTAATTGCATTTAGTATCGTGAATAAAAACAAAAAAATTATCCTTTTTTTTGCGAAGAACAGCGTTGCTATGCCAACGGGGTGGAGTTTGAAGGAAGAGCCAAAATACAGCAGTTTTTGAGAGATGGACGGGACTTAGACCATGCCCACAATGAGCCATGCTCAGCATCAATGCAGACCTGGAGAGTTTGGTGAAGTCTGACAACTCACCTGACATTCACCCACCGAGGTTCAGGATGTATATTTCAGCTCACAGAGGTGAGACTACAATACAGTCTATGCAAGGTGGGTTAAGTGTTTGTCCAAGGACACTACGACGGACGGATGGATGAGATGTTAAACTTACAACGCTTAAGAAAAGGAGCCAACGTAATACTTATTCCATGGCAATGGCTTCTAACCTGCAACTTTGGTAGCAAGTTTCAAAAGTATGAAAGGGGCGGAGCTTAAAGGAAGAGTAAAAAATATTTGGAAAATGTTGCTGTTCAAGCATATTTAAAATGATCGACTATCATAAAGTCAAAAGAATCTAAGCTTCTAACTGCAACAGATCTACTTTAAAGGGTAAAAACTAATTAGCAGCACCATAGTGCAGCTTCAGATATGAGCGATGACACAGCGGATAACAGCAGGAATCCATCTGGTTGTTAAACACGATTAAAACTTAACACTGAAACAAAACAACAACAAAACTTGAAAGGTTTAAATAAAATGGAAAAGTCTCCGCCTGGTTGCATTAATGACAAATAACAGCACTTTTATTTCCCTTTAGTCCGTCTTCCTGAGCAGCCATGTAGGTCAGACCTGCCTTATCCTGGCTTTTCTCCATCACTTCTCACTTCGCCCTGTGAGTGGGAACAGCCTGTTTTTCATTCTGCTTTCCACAATAAGCTCCCATATCTGCATTTTAGCTGTGAAATTTACTGCTTAGGTTAAAAATATGGATAAATAAAACCCTCGCTGGCAGCAGGACTTTAGCGTAGCTTCCATGTTTTTTTTTATTCCATGAGAGAGAAATTCAAACACTAAATAAATTAACTACATAAATATTTCAAGTCTTTATTTTTCCTGTTTATTTTTGTCAGAAATTACGGTCAACAATAATAAATGATCCATACCCAATCACTATCAGGATACAACATTAAATCTGCGTGATATTGATACTCAAGTGTTTGCATATTCTCTTGTTTTTATTTTGAATTTTTATTTATATTTTCATACTGTAAATGTAAATGTATTTATTAGCATTTAGATGCAACTAATTTCACTCTTATTTGGGATTCTGTTGAGAAAGGATTTTTTTCATTAGTTCATCATGTTAATAAAAAATTGTTATCCCTGTAATTTTATTCATTTTTTAATCCTTATATATCAAAAATACTATCAAGTATTTTCCTGGGTATTAATATAGTGGTTGAATTTTTATTATCCGGACAATGCCAATAGAAAAAACTTGAAACTTACAATGTTTTTAAAATGTCCAATAATAGAAACATCCTGAACCGAAACTCTAAATACCAGCAAAACCGTCTGTCACTCAGCGATTCCATTAGCCAAGCATATCCAGAACATAAAACAGAAAGAACACAAATAAATAAATAAAAAGTGAGTCATGAACAGTGAGTACTGCACCCTTGGATGGATTGTGTAGAAAAATGCATAAAAAATTTTAAGGAGCTTCACAAGAAGTGGACAGAGGCTGGAGTCAGAACATCAAGCCATTAAAAACAGATGGTTTCCTCATTGGACTTTGCTTCAAAAAACTAAAACAAGAGTTTTCCAAATCTGACAGGATTCTCATTAATTCCTAAAGATCGATTCTAATAACCAAAGATCAATTTTGTTTTTTGTCAGATCTGTTTGCTCAGTTTCAAAAATTTTAATGTTTTTTTTCCTAGTTTTGATCCATTCATGTCTGCTATAAGTATAATTCTATTTAAGGTGTCTAAACACATATCTTTTAACTTATCAGGCCTATTTAAATGTGAAGACTTCAGGACGGACCTGGGAGACAGATGGAGACGGCAGATGAGCTCCAGACATGAAGAATCACACTAAGACTATCACTTGTCTACTGGATAGACCATCACATACTGACGGAGAGATTTATACTTTAAACTAAATTTGACCATTTTGTGTGTGTGCCATGTTTGCAAAAAACACATTATCCTACTTTTTTGTTAATTTGTGAATACTCAGGTGGTCAGAGTAAGAAATAAATTAGATCCAGTCATTTTTGTAAAATGTTTCATTTGAAACAAGAATGGGAGTCTGCAGATTTGGGGAACTTGTCCAATGATGTCCACACACTCTGCTTAACGTGATATTTTAGATCAATAGGATGTTTGTGAAGCTCATTAACATTTTGCCTTTAACACTGCCAGCATTATTTTATTGTATGAATCATTGCTGTAGATTCGGTTGTCCAACTGTATGAGCTGACTAAAACCTTCAAATGTAACATTCAGATTAGTATCCATCAGCCTTATTCATCCCAACTCATCAGATCTGATGGATTCCAGAAGTAAGTAGAAGGTAGCTGCATTTACTAGGATACATTACAGTAACTTTTTGAACACATATTTGCATAAGTTTTGCTGCACCTTTTCCTTTACTTCCGTATTAATTGCAACTATTTTTGAGTAAATTTTCTTACTACACTGTTTGAATTATATCACTGATTTGCAGGCCTAAGACACAACGACACACAGGTAGAGTTTATGTTGAAGTGAGAAATGTTTCCATTTAACCGAACCGTGTTTTTTGTATTTGCAAAGCTAATCGAGTCAATTTCTTTTTTTTTGTTTTTATGACACTAGTGGCTCGTTTTTCTGACAGTAGGCTGACAGGAAAGGAGGTATGAGAGAGGGGGAAACACATGCGGTCCGATTCGAACCCGGGTCGGACGCATCGAGGACTAAGGCCTCCGTACATAGGTCATGCACGCCAATCGCTGTTCCACCTGCACGGCCTGATCAAGTCATTTTCAATAGTAAATAAACAGCTACAGGTATAGTTATTCTTTTGTCTAATATATTATGATTTCTACATAACTTACATTTTGTTTGATATTTTAAAATTTAATCAGATAATTAAGTAGCCTTTGTACTGTTTTTTTATTATGTGGTACTAATGCTGCTCTTAAGTACAATTTTAGCGATTTTACCTCTTTTTGGTTCAACCTGCCAGCAAAAATTTTTCTTCACAATGTATTAAATTTCAAGATCATAATGTTCACCTTTTTACATTTTACAGTGTATTTATACTGCATATAATTATATATAGTTGTTTTTCCATGAATTACAGCTTACAACTGATGATCTTATAACCATCTTATCCATCATATAACATCTTATAATAATATAAAATGTTCTAATATTTACCACCATCTGCCCCTGGTTAAGACGGGTCTTTAAAAACCAGGCATCTTAGTCGTTTCTGTTAGTCAAAAGGTCTGACAGACTACTGGGTAGGTTTGAAACATTTTCAGAAAATACTGAAAATACTAGTTACCACTAATTGAAGCCTGTTTAGTGGTTGCAGTGATCTGGATGACTGAAAATGTGCACGGGCATAAGAATATCTAACAAAGAAATAGCCTTTAATTTCCGTCAGGTGTAGCACACAACCACAACCGTGACAAATACCTTTTTCTTAGCTTTTGCTCAGAGAACACATAAGGTCCATGATAAAAGGGCTGAATTTACTGAAGCAAATGTGTGGAACGCTGTCGAAATACTCATGTAATGTTGAGAGCTTTGAGTCATTGTATCAACAGGAAGGCTCTTCCATCCAGGAGTAGAACTATACTGTAGATTTCTTTATATAGAAAGCGACATCTCTCCCTGGTTACACAAGCACCTTTAAATGAGAATATTCCCCTCATTTGTTTTTATGCTTCATTAAATTAAACCATTGCAACAAAGATAATTTAGTTCTGCACAACGGACTTCCCCCAAAGGTGCTCCTGAGAGCAGGTGCAGCACTGCAAACTGTGAGTGAGCAGCAGCTAAAACATGCAGAGGAGTTCAGGTGGATTGTCATCTGCTCTCGCTCGGGTATTGTTTCAGCACGCATGGGTTCTCGTTTATACTCACGATAACTATGGCAGGGTTTTAACGGTATAGAGCAACAACCAAGCACAGAGCTAATAGTAATGAACATAACTAACTCCTCTCCATCCTGGAGAGAAATATCAGCTGTGCTGCTGCCATCAACACCTTTGGTTATAGATGTTGGAGATCAGCCTGTTTTTCAGTGTAGTCCTGTTTCTCTGATTGTGACTGGCTGGATGTGCTCTTTTCATCCTCTGGCATGAAAGTTTGCTCAGAGCTCGTCTGCCTGGCTGTGTGTTTCCTGGATGGGTCCGCCTTCTACAGTTGCTTTTTTTATCTCTGCTTCCATCTCCTTGAACCCCAGTCAGCCTCGGCAAACGGCCGCTCACACTGAGCCTGGTTCTGCTGGATGTTTCTTCCTGTTAAAAGGGAGTTTTTCCTCTCCACTGTCGCTACAAACATGCTTAGTGTGAGCGATGCTAAAGAGTCAATGAGTCGATGCAATCAACTGGTTTTCCTTAGATAGAAAACTTTGAATCAATTTGACTGGATAATCTGGGGAACTGTAAAGTGCCTTGAAATGACGTGTGTTGTGAATTGGCGTTATAGAAATAAACTCAATTGAACTGAATTGAATTAACATATTTCCCTTTTTGAACATTATGTGATGTAATAATTTTCTGAGACTGAAATTCTGGTTTCATCTGGAAGACCATGATCAGAATTACAAGACCTAAAAGGCTAGAACATGCCTTTTATACGTCATGACTATAAATGAGTTTTACTTGGTAAAACAATCAAAAGTATACTTTTTTTTACTTTCAAAGAATAAATCAGGAGCAGCCGTACCTTCAACAGAGATGTCTTGGATGGCGAAGCGAAGGATGATGGTCCAGATCATTCCAAGTGTCATCTTGGCGTTCCCATCAACGATCTCTGCATGAGGTAATTTCAGAGTCCGTTAGAGCCAACATTTTCTCTAAGAAGCTCCTCCATGACTAATTTTTACTTAAACATTTGTTACAGTGGTTTTACAGGTTAAAGAAAGAAGACAAACATGAAATCTCCTTTCAAAAAGTTTTACCAAGCTGCTCTGATTAAAAATCGGCTCTGGGGGGGAACATGAACAAGGCAGTTGATTTCAGACACTTTAGTCTGTTTTTCCTGCTACGACAGGACGTCACTACACACACCAAGGGCTGCTGATTAGAAAGTAGGCTTGTAGGTTTGGGTCAGATTCCTTTCATAGTTTAAACAATCCTCTCATACTTTCACCTGTTTTATCTTCTATCCTATCAGATACACTCTGGTGTGACTGGCGGACTCTACCCAAATACTGTTCATTTCGTTTCTACATTCCTCAGGTTTTCTGTCCATTTTGCTTTCTCTAATTCCACTCAAAGCTGCATTCCTTCAGTATGAGGAGCCAGGCTGGAACTCCTGCAGATCAAATGGAGAAACATTAAAAAAAAAAGGATCTTCATCCCCAATTATCTGCTCCTTCCATCTGTCATCCGTCAGTTGGCATTTTTCTCAGCCCGTCTTCCAGCTGATGACCTTTAGCGGTTGCATCCACAGAAGGCCAGATTTAGAGCAAGTTTAAGATGGGCCGCCATGTTTTTACTCTCTTCAAGTGCAACCAGTAACGGCTGCATCACGCTGCAGGAATGTCATGGTTGTCCTGAGGGAGAAAGGTCAGCTTCCTCTAGCATTCACTGAACACACAATGACCTCAGTGTGAGTTTGGTTGTCTGCTCCTGAATCTGTGCCATCACTCAGCAGACTCTAAGCAGGACGTCCTACTGCAGCGTGAGACTGAGGCTGAACTGTTTAATTTAACCCCCTGCCTTCTGCAACAGGGCACAATATTTTAGGTTATAATCCTGCAGAGAGAGACGAGGGAATCAGAATTATTCTTATTTTGCAAGGTGAGGGAAGAGAGGTTATAGAGAGAATAATACATGCTGATATTAATAACAGCCCTTTCATTGTTATATCTGAGTTATCCAGTTTTATTTAGCTCTCAGGTTAAGCCAACTGTATATAGAAACGTTAAGGAGTCGCTTTCTGGGGGAGGAGAGCAGAAATAACAGCGACCAAATAAACTGGACTGATTTCAAGCAGCTGAGCTGGTGAACAGAGTCAGAAAGGAAAAACTATAACGTCATATGTTGTGCAACGTTTTAAGAAAAGAATTGAAATAAAGCAAAAATAAATAAATATTTGATTAAAAATGTTTTCCTTAGAGCCGAAGTAAATTGATGAGAAAAATATAATAATAAATTTTTTCCCCATAAATGATTGTGTGGAAAAAAAGGTTTTGAGAAAAAGAAAATTAGGAATTTGTGTAACAAAATCACCAATAATTAAATATTTAAGATAATGGTTTAAAAAATGTATTTCAAAGGTTCATTTGTGATGCATTTTTTTGCAACCAAAAAAGGTTCAGACTTTTGTTGGCTTTTTATTTTCGGATCAGTTGATAAGGATCTGGTTTTATTGTTAATGTGGCCAGCGTCAGCCATCCGTATGGATAAAAGTCCCACTCTGGAGGTAGAAACAGAATGTGTTTACTATTCAAAGGGGGGATTTCCAAACAGACTTTGAATGCAGCTTTGGGACAACACCTTCATTAAATCAAATCTCTGCATTTTATGGTAGAACTGTAATTTTTATAGCAGCTAATTTGGTTATAAAACAAATAGCAGGAAAGAGAAAACGTGGATCAGCTGATTCTGGTTTTAATTGACACATAAAGACACAACTGCTGTCAGAATCAAAACCTTCTTCTGGTAACTTAGGAGGAAAAACTTTTTTTTTTTTTTTTTGTAGTGTAATTAGGACAGGATTTCATTTGCTCAAAGAGTGTTGTAGGCTATCTTGAGCTGGCAGTGACATGGAGTTATTGGGAGTGACCTTTTTTAATGTGGAACCGGCTCGGTTTCTTTAATCTTACCCTCTGCCCCGATGGAGACCAGCTTGACTCCCTTGCTGGCGATGAAGTCCAGAGCTTTGTTCACGTTGTTGATCTTGTGCACCCTCATTTTGCCTCGCTCCGGCTTTGGTAACCGCTCGCCTGCAGGCACAGAGGAACAAACGTGAAGGAGGGGGGTTAGGAGTTCGCTCCTGCAAACGTTTCCGCACGCTCAGCAAAACGGCTGCTCCGTCAGGGAGGCTAAAGTTACAGCAGCAACGTCGGCATCACTCAAAAATGAAGTGAATGTGGGCCAGAAGGCCACAGGGTTTCTACAGTTTTTAATGACTCAAATCCAAACTTTTCCAGACTTATTTTCTGACTAAGCAGATTTTTTTTCTCCCACTTAAAAAAAAAAAAAAGTGTCTAAATACAAATGATGAGGAACTAAACAGCAGATTTTGATGTGATGGAAACATCGGTTGAAGGATGAACAACAAAAGAGCGAAAAGACAATTTGGTGAATTTATAGAAAAAAGCGGATAAAGATGGAATCAAACTTACAGAGAAAGTGATCAATTGGGAAACAGAAGGAGAGTCAAATGAACCGAGAGAGTTAGACAAACAGGTAGATGAGGGGAAAAACTAAGGGAAAAAATGGATGGATGGATGTATGGATGCAACATTTGGCTTCAACATGTCATCCACAGAGCAGATCCTGCATTGTTTCACCATCAGAGCTGAGATGATCCGGAGGAAAGCTTCTTTAACCAATAGAAACCTTCTCCCCTCATGGAGAGGACTTTGCAGAGACTCACCTGAGATGACTTCCAGCAGCAGCATTAGTTTGAGTCCATCTCTGAAGTCCTCCTCGATGTTTTCGATCTGCGTGCCAGCTTTCCGCAGGTGGGAGTTGCACCAAGCCGTAAACGTCTAAAAGAAAGAGAACAGAAAATAATTGTAGATTAGTCACTGTCTGAATTGGTTTGTTCTTACATGTTTTAGGAGAATATTCAAACTTTAGGTTTAATAGAAAAGGGAGACGTGAGAGAATGGGGTAGTTAACAACGAAAGGAGGCGTTAAAACGGAAACATAATCTCTTTAATTCATTCTGGTTAAACAGCATTTTAAATCCGTTCATCTCCAAAGAATAATATAAACCAACTAAGACAGAAGCTCTTCGGCTGCACCACCTTTTTAAACCAATGACCACAAGTAGGGAGTGAATTTTGTCCCATTATTGTTACAAAGAACATGTTTTATAAACAGAAATCAAACTTTAAAAAAAAAAGTTAATTTCATATTTTTTTATTTTAAAGAATTTTTTTTTTTTTTTTTATTTCAGATCAAGTTTTATGAATCTTATTCTTTTTTCAGATCACATTCTCTGTACTTCCCAGAGTTAGAAAAAAATCTATTGGTCTGCAGGGATGTTGGCAACATCATTTTTATTCGTTAATATGGGCAATAAGCCAGCGTTCATATTGGGCTCAAAGTGAAGAGAATGATCTGTGAAACAATGAATGAATGAAAAGAATGCAGTTCAAAGAAAGAAAAGCTGAAAAAATAACAAATATGAAATCTGAAATAAAAAACAAAAATAGGAATAAAAAAAAATCTAATTAGGAAACAAAATGTTTCATATTTTATTTTTGATCAACTTCCCTTTTATTTTGAAAAACCTCCCTCCATACAAAAGTGAAGAAGACGAACTTCTCCAAAGCAAGCTGATCTAAAACATTCAATCTGTACGTTCCTCTGCCTCTGGCTGCATTTTAAAAAGGTTTCTCTCCAGGGAGCTGGAAACCAGAACTCTGTCACGCCATGGATCAAAAATAAAATGCAAGGATAAACTCTGCGGGATCTTGCTCATGTCATTCAAGAGAAAAACATCCCAAAAATATGTGAAAGCCTCACTCTGAAAAGTCACACACAAGCTCAGTAAAATCAGGACTAAAAAAAAAAAAATAATAATAATAATAATAAGCAAAGACTTCAGTCTTTTATGCTTTTCTTATTTGGAAAAGCAACAGGCAGGCACCTTATTGAACGAGGAACAGGAGCTACTCTGGAGTAGAGATGTTCCGATCCAGGTTTTTGCACTTCCGATCCGATACCGATATTGTTTTTGGACTTCCGATCCGATACAGATACTGGCCGATACCAGCCTATCCGAGCATGTATTTAAGTTTAAGTTAAAGTATTTAGCCTTAGTTATAAGACTCATGTTGAAAAGGGTTTTAGTACTCTTGATAACATCTAGCCAGCTAAATTAGGTGAGATTGAATAAAACACAATGCTTGGTAACAACAAACTTACCTGTTTATTAAGAGATAAACACAAACTGGACAAAATTACAAATAGCAATCTGAAATTGCACAGTGAACAGTAAAACCGTAAACAGTTAAAGGTGCAAGTATTACTGTAAGTTTAATAAAAATGCAAAACAGGGGAACACTGGCGCAAAATAGTGGAATGGATCGTTTCAATCGGCGAAACTGGAAAATACGGACCGGATTTTTTTTTAAAAACTGGATCGGCAGTCTGGATCGGCATTTTACATGCTTTGCCGATACGCATTTTTTTGCCAATATCGGCGTCCCGATCCGATCCACGTATCGGATCGGGACAAGCCTACTCTGGAGCATAGAAGCATGTGTTAACACCATGATAAAATAGGAAGACATCAGGAGGACATTCTGGGGCTCATCAATCAGGATAGGATTATAGATGCCTTTACTCAACCATGCGATGGATTATCTGAGAGCATCGTACCAGAGACAGGCCATTTTGTCTTATGAGCTGGTTATCCTCCTGCAGCAGTGTGTCGCAGTGAGCTTGTTGCATATATTTTTTATTTAATATTGAAGCGTGGTCTGCGCTATGTTATTCCACGCCACAATGCAAGCTGTGGGTCTAGATACGGCCGATGCGGTGAGGAAATTGGGTAAAGTTTGTGCGACAACGTAGGGACATGAGGGCGAAAAAGAGCGGGGATCCAGGTGGAAAAAGCATCCCAGCGTTCTCGCGCACCTCACTCTTCTTCCTGGTCCATCTTCACAAGTCATTTTCCACAATGGCATCGGTCATACAAACAAAACAAGCCGATAAGGTACCACGTATAGACGTGTAGAGCGGATGTAGATTTGACCAATCAGAGGCCTTATGTCTGCAGTCACCTACAATTTGAGAGGTGCAGCAGAGTGTCTGCAGCTTATAGATAGGAGTTAAAGACAGAATCAGACACTAGTGAGGGTTGAAGGAAGCTTCCCTAAAGTCCGACTCTTTTAGAGGTTCTAATGCACAGTGCCACGTTTGGACCATACCAGCTGACCAAGGAATGTTAACATCAGGACGTACTGATACCAGCCCTACAGAAACACTGTAGAGTCCCATGGCAGGCATCCAGTCTGTCCAAATCTGGGTCATAAACGGGATAATGACCTCAAACACAGCATCGCATCTACAACAGAATCTCAAAGTCCAAATTCAACCCTCCTGATTGGTTGGAGCAAAAAGAGACGTGTGCAGAAACAAATGCCTGCAAACAAACAGAGTTAATGTTGGGCAAAAACTCCTCTGCCATGAGCGGATGATAAAGTCCATCATGAAACAGCGTCATGGCTGCTGAAGGTGGTTCTTCAGATGTTACATGATGACCTTTTTGTTTCATCTTCATAACCAAAATGGGTAAAAATTAGAAGAGCAGCATCAGATTCATGACTACCAAAGCGGAACAAAGCAGCTGAATCAGCAGCAATATGCGCTGAATGTTCTGGAAAACCCTGATCAAGCTCATATTTGACTTACAGGAATAAAACCAGAATAAAAACACAAACGCCTCCTGTGTTTGTAAAGCCTCCTGTTGAAAAACATTATGACAGGGTGCTGCTCGCTGCCCCGCCTCTCTCCCCGCCGGCCTCGGTGGGCCGGCGGCACAAAGCTCCCATTGAGCCGGCTGGATAATAGCACCCTTCAGCCCCCAGCGCTGCCCAGCCCGCCGTGTGCGTCCGTGTGTGCGTGAGGGGACCCCTCCCCCAGATGGGCCGATACCAAGCAGCCCTCTCTCCCTGCACAGCCTTCCCTCTCCCAGAGAGGACGGAGGGAGAGGAGGGTGGATGGATTTCACGGAAACAAACAGACGTGCAGACAGAGTAGGTGGGCAGCAGGAGGACAATGGCCTAGCTGCCACATACTCGCAGACACTCCAACAATGCAGCAGGAAGTGGCATTGCAATGACAGGAAGTTCCAGCTTGGAACAGACAATCAGCATAGATGCATAAATCACCGCCTGTCAGTATGTCATCAACCAAACACTTTCAGCTGATCATTTATAGGTTTTGTATAAAATATTCATTTATTGCTTTATTCATATCTAAATTCTGCTTTCAGACCAGTAAATTTGATCAAAATGATCCCATCAGACATAGGCTACGTTCACACTGCAGGCCTTGATGTTCAATTCCGTTTTTTTTTTTGTGAAATCCGATTTTTTTTTTGCGAAAATTCGAATTTTTTTTGCGAAATCAGATTTTTTTTGTTGCGGTGCTGTTCACATTTCTAAATATATGCGAGTTGTATGCGAACTGTGTGAACTGCAGTCAAACAACTGTGTCCAGCATGCAAAGTAAAGGACGCAATGACATCACAGGCCAGCTCTGTGTTTACAGAAGTAAATACGGATGGTAGTGCCGACGTAGATCTATGATGGTTTACAGTGTAAAGCAGAGACGGATTAGTTTTTTTTGTTTTTGTTTTTTTTTTTTGCCACAAAAACAAAATGGAGCAAAAATATTTCATGTTAAGGCAGCGTTAACATGATTCCAGAAATAGTCCAAAACACTACACTAACCAAATTTTATTCATAAGCAATCCTGAGCATGATCTTTTTCAACCATAAAAACAATCTTTTTCAGGATTGTTAAACATAAATACTGCTCTCCGCATCGTCTGCCACGGTCTTCATAGCAAGACGCGGAATAGTGACCTTTGTCGGGTATTAATGGCGTTCAGGTCGGATTAATGCGACCTAACCGTTCAGACGCAGGTCGCATTTGAAAAGATCAGATTCGTATAAAAACGGATCTGTGTTGTTCAGACAGCTATGAAAACATCAGATCCAGGTTGCATATGGGCCGAAAAAAAAAAATAATTCTGATTTTTGTGTCTTTTTGGTGTGGTGTGTGCGTGTAGATAGAGGTGAGTATTGGCATGGGTGTTGCGATTCGATACATGTCGCGATGCTTGGGTCACGATACGATATTATCACAATACAGTATCACTATTATTTATATTGCAATATTTTTGCAAAATGATTGTTTCTCACACTCCTAATCAGACAGGGACCTGAACTGCTGCTTTAACATGAGATTTACGCAACAAACAGCTGCAGACTAAAGGCCCCTCTGAGCAGCTCCCTCAGGTTTACACAGCTTTTCCTGCCTCTTCAAACTGCAGTATCTGCACCAAAAAAGCAGAAATGTGAAGTTCGATTACAGCTGCAGCCTCTCAGCTCTAAGAGGCACTTCACTGTAAGAGCATGAAGTTTCTTAGGAGCTACAGTGATTTCAGTTGAAAGTCATGCATTCAACAAGTCTCAACATGTGGAACAATATCTGCAGCTGCATGTTTCACACAACCTACACATGGATCAACATGAGTAATAAGGTCTTTCCAGACAACTTATTTTGTGGATCAAATATCTTTTAAAATACCAGTACAATAATCTGCAATTGGTAACCTTACACCAACTTTAAGGAGATTGTTATAATTTCAGGATTTAATCTATAAAAATCTACAATCATGAATTACAAAAACAAAACACGACTTTTAACTTCTTTTTTGAAACTGTTATACTAAAATAAAACTGCTTCATCATCGCCATGAAATATGACCTTATTCAACCTACTGAGGGAACTAAACGCCCTTCTG